TTTTTTTTGGGGGGGGGGGGGGGAGTTAAATGCCCAGTCCATTCACCCACTTTGCCACAACCACATTGTTTTTCACTAGTGCCAACATGAGGAACGGGCATGGCGGGCACTGCATGGAGCTGTGCACACGGCACCGGGGCCCTGCTCACACCTGCACCCCTGCCGGGCTTCCTGGGCTTGCTCTGCTCTCCCTTCTCTGAACAGATGCTGTGCCCCAACCCTGCACCCAAAGCCTCTCTCAGGCTGCTCCAGCAACTCCAGGAAGCAGAGCCTGGGAAGCCTCATGACAGGACCTTGGAAGCCCACGGGCAGCATGGGAGAGACCAGCTGATACATCTCCAGTTGCCAATACAGCCCTGGAGCAAAAGGCCCCTGCCACTCAAATGCCAACCCCAATGCTGGCAGCTCTCCCAGCCCATGCCCAGCTGGGGGACCCTGGGGTTCAGCTTGCTTCCTGTGCGTGTGAACTATCCCATCCCACCATGTCCTGAATACATCTCTGGGAATCTGACCAACTCCAAGCAGGAAGACACCTCTAACCCTTTCCTGTTCCTAACCCTGACCCCAACCCTGACCCAAACAGCACTCAGCTGCTCCAGCAGGACACCCTGTGCAGCCTGGCTACAAAGTGGTTTGGGTCATAGTTACCTGAGAGATTGCTAAGATCTGCAGGGGCTCATGAGCTGGATGGCTGTAGCTGTAAGCCCCAACTGCAACATCCATCAAACTTAATGGAGTGGCTTCAAGGGAGGACGGGTGTCTGGAGGACTTAGGAATGAGGATCATGAGTCACATAGGACTCTGGAAACTCATGCTCCCCTTTGTCTCTCTGTCTCCCAGTGTCTTATCTGTAAAATGGGGGTAATTGCTCTTCCCCACCTGTCATGATTATGGTGAAGATAAAATACACTAAAGACTGCAACGTCTGTTAGGAGTGGGGCCCAAAAAAGAAAGGTAGAGCTGCAACTGTAGGAAATAAGAGCAGCCTGGTACTGGAGGGGCACTCTGGACTGGTGGATATGACAACATGTGAACGTGTCTTCCTAGATGTACATTTTTTTACCCATAAACCCTCCTGGTTTAATCATCTTACACTGTGCTTTCATCATTGCTTTGTGCTCTTCTTTCCAGATTTTGGATCTGGCCAAGTCACAACCAGAATGTGTGCAACTTGCACACTTTTAATGGTCCCATCCCACTGCCACTGGTGTTAAAACCTGAATCCAGGACATCTGGCTTTTAAGACATAAGCTCTCACTGCCTAAAAGCTGTGACTCAGGCAAGGCTGAAGGACACTGCTCAACCATGCCATCACAAAGTGGGGGCAGAGGGTTAGGGTTGGAGGATATTACAAATATTGAGCAAAGAGCTCCTGCTGAGCTTCCCAGGAGAGTGGGCTAGGCTACAAAGGCTAACAATGGACAAGGGGAAGGTTGAGCTGAGGAACTGAATCAAGAGCATGGTTTGATAAGGGTTGGCAGCCTCTGAGGAAATTGTATAGGGGTTAAGAGAGATGTGAATTGCAGCGAGGAAGCCCCTAAGAAACCAAAAAATGCTCTGTGCAGCCCCCATGCATGGATCAGCCCTCCTACGTGTGCTACAGTACATTATAGCCGTGCTAGAGAAGGGCTGTTTGTCATCACCCCCTGCTTCCACTTGCTTTTGCTGCTGTCTCCATTTTTGCAGTGTCTGGGTTTGAAGATCCTGCAAGGGAAGCAGGTTGAGAATTTGGGGTGAAATCCTGGCCACATGAAAGTCAGTGGCAAAACAATGTTATTCCCTCAATATTAACCTCTCCCTTTTTTAAACCAGGAATCTGGTATTACCAGCAACATCAGATGGGGCTCTGGGATTTGTAAGCAATATTTTGGGGAACCATGGAATTCACGCAGGGAGTTACTGCAGAGAGTGGTGTCCACGGCCAGCTGTTGTGTGACCCCAGGGATCCCTCCACTACCAGCTCCTCCCTGAGGCCTGCAGTGACCCTGCACCAAGCTCTGCCCTCTAAGGACATAAGAACTGCCATTTACTGGATCAGACTATAAGTGCATCTTGCCCAGTATCCTGTGTGACACAGGGGCAGAGTGGATGATGACAAGCAGAGGGCAGGGGTTTTTTCCAGCTGATCCTCTTTCGTTTGCAGCCTCCAGCATTTAAGGTCCAGGAAGTTCTGATTCAGAGGCTGAGCCCCTGACTTCTGTGCTCAATAGCTGCTGATGCCTCTTTCTTCCAAAAATTTGTCCATTCCCTTTTTTGAATCTGGCTGCACTGTCAGCTCCCAAAACATTTGTAAGACCCTTTCTAAGGGGTTTAATGTCCCCTGCACAATGGCAGCCTTTGTCTCTTGGCTTTAAGAATGAATCATGCATAGAAGTCTCTGTCAATGGGAAGATGACTTCAAGATCCTGTGGAAAGGAGAAATAGGGTTATCTATGGGGTTGTTCAAAAGGGTCCCTAAGTGGATATATGTGGGTGGTAGGACTCTGGCCCCAGGGTGGCTGCCCAGAGCTGCAAAAGACAGATTTCTAAGTGACACAGATACTCTGTTTTACTCTGCAGGTTTCTGTAGTTAGAGGCATAGAGAAGGATTCTGTCTAGGTCCATCCGGGAATGGAGAGACTAGATGGTACAGAGTGGGGGGAAAGGTCAGTAACTGTTGTACCCAGAGGGTTTTGGTCAGAAAGAAGGGACTGTGCTCTCACTCTGTTTCTCTTTTCCTCCCTCTCTCAGACCCTATTGACTCTTTCTCTGCTGTGGCCTGGGATCCCAAAATGAGTAGCAGCTTCTCCCCAAGTGGGGACTATTACTGGGGAGATGTCTCCATTAAAGCTCCAGATGCGCCCAACCCAGCAGGGAAGCTATCTCCAGTGGTTTGAGCCAGCCCCCCAGGGCAGCCCTGGGCTCTGCAGACACAAGCTCCTGAGCCACAGACTCCAGGTAACAGAGAAAGACCTGAGGAACATGCTGGGGACAGGCAGGAGAGGGAGACTCTGCATGCACAGCCCTGGGAGCCTCATCTCTTATGACTCTTCTTTTTTAATGAGCTTCTTGTAGGACTTAGAGCTGTGTTAGCAGCTGTGAACCTGCTGCCCTTTGTTTCCTCTTTCCTGTGGTCAGATTTGCCTCCCTGTAAGGAACCAAGTAGGGAAAAGACCAGTTTCATTTTCATGACTCTTCCTTTCACTAACGCAGAGACATGCATTGGCTTGCCCAGCCGGTCAGGAGCAGAACCAGATCTTCTGAACTTCAGGCCAGTGTTTTCTACACTAAGCCAGGCAGTATCTTTTTTTCCCTAAAGATGGGGAAGGCCATATTTATTCCTTCCATACTCCCCTTTGGGGAAAGGTTTGAGGAGAATTCTGCTCCTGGTCTTTCACATCTTCCAACAAGTAACGGTATTTTAGCTTTTTCCCCTCCTTTCAGTTTCCTCTTTTTGAAGTTGCCATTTTTCCCCGGCCTGGGAAATGATTTATCTTGGGGCCGTCTCCCTCTCTATCTTTCCCAGAAGGTAACTGGGTGATGAATGGTCATATGAAAGAGAATCCTCATCAGGAAGGACCTGAATGAGGGGAATTGAATGGGATGTTGCCAGGAAATGCATCTGGAAGACGTGAACTTGGAAAAGGCTGCAAACCCACTCATGGTGAGGGTGGCCTGAGGAATTTCAGCAAGGCCAAGATGCAGCAGAGCATCCCCAAGGGACAGAGAGAGAACACATGCACAGAGCGAGGGAAGAGCTTCAGTCGGAGCTCACAGGTAATAACACATCACAGGGTTCACGCAGGGGAGAGACCCTGCAAATGCCCCCAATGTGGGAAAAGCTTTATTGATAATCCAACCCTAAGAAAACACCAGAGAATCCACACAGGGGAGAAACCCTACAAGTGCCCAGAGTGTGGGAAAGGCTTTTGCCAGAATTCACAACTGATTGGACACCAAAGAATCCACATGGGAGAGAAAGCCTTCATCTGCTCCAGCTGCCGGAAGAACGTCTATGACTGGCCGGCCAAGCTTTATCAGACACGAGAGAACCCGTGTGGGAGAGAAACCCTACCGCTTCCCCGAGCATGGGAAAAACTTCTGAGACTGGTCAACTTGTACTGGATACAAGAGAACTCACATGGGGCAAAAACCCTACCATTGCCCTGACTTCGGGGAAAACTTCAATCAGAGACCAAATCTGATCAGGCACCAGAGAATCGGCAGGAAAACCCTATAAATGCCCTGACTGTGGGAAGACCTTCAGTCACAGTTCCACCCATACGAGGCATCAAACAACCCTCATAAGAGAAACCGTGTCAGCACCCTGACTAGGGCTGTCAGAAATGAATTATAATAGGGTAGGACCATGTCTATAGCTAAGGCTGATTTTTTCTAAGTGCTCTAAAATCAATATTCTGATGCTAATTGTCTTGATATTTGCTGCATCACATCTGTGCCAGAGATCTAGGTAGTGTTGGAAGCACAAGGTCATGGCCCAGGCATATCTGAGTTATGGCTCCCCTAGTAAGAGCCACTTTTAATAGTCAGCTGTCTCTAAAACCAATGTGAACTGAACCCTCTGCAAACTAGGAAATGCAAAGTTAAGGTATTTGTCATACCTCCGATGCAGCCTTAACTCTGCCCTCTCTGTGGGATGCCCTAATATGCCAGTAACACACACATTAGCACTCTGCCTTCATAGATACTACAGAACACATAGTGTCAGGGATAAAGACCATGAGCACAGCATGACAGCTGGGCAAGGGTCTTAATCAGCCAGCTATTTGTGTGTGGTTACTTCATTTTTTATTATCCCTTGTCCTGCCTTAAAACATGGTCAAAATTGCATCCCCACCAGAGAATTTGAACCCCTAGGCTTTTATTTCTCTGAAATAATAAGTCCTAGCAGCATTGCTCAAATACATTGCCCTTCTGTTCTCCCTTTCTCTGCTACTTAAATGCTTCCCCCTTCTCCCAGCTCGCTGCCCGCACAAATGCTCAGGATGATAGCACCACAGAGGTTAAACAATATCAAATACATTGTATGGCAGCTGTATGTATTAAGGGAAATGAAAGAACCCCCCACCCTTTGTTCACAGTTGGGTGGAAGGCATGAGGTGTATTGCTCAAATAAGGTAGCGACATTTTTCAAGCACCCCAGAGATCATGGAATCATAGAAAATGAGGGTTGAAGAGACCTCAGGAGGTCACATCTAGTCCACCCCCTGCTCAAAGCAGGGCCATCCTCAACTAGATCATCTCAGCCAAGGCTTTGTCTAGCTGGGTCTTAAAAACCTCCAAGGATGGAGACTCCACAATCTTTCTAGATAGCCTGTTCCAGTGCTTTACTACCCTCCTAGTGAGAGAGGTGTTCTTCATATCCCTTGCTGCAACTTGAGCCCATTGCTCCTTTTTCTGTCATCTGTCACCACTGAGAATAGCCCAGCTCCACCCTGTTTGGAACCAACCTTCAGGTAGTTAAAGGCTGCTATTAAATCCCCTCTAAGTTTTCTCTTCTCCAGACTAAATAAGCCCAGTGCCCGCAGCCTCTCCTCATAAGTCATGTGCCTCAGCTCCTCGCCATTTTTGTTGCCCTCCACTGGACTCTCTCCAGTTTATCCACATCTTTTCTTTAGTGATAAGGCATTTTTAATCACACCCTTTATACTGTTCAGAACAATGCCTACATAAGGCTGTGCATTTTGCAGTGCACTTGGTTGCAATATGCTGATGTTACGGAAGGAACTTTAAGGCAAAGAAGGTCATTTACATTGGTGCGCACATGGCAAGGTAATGAGACATCCTTAAGGTTGCCCTAATAGGTGATAGTTTCTTCCCACTCCTGCACCAGCCACTGGACAACATATTGGCAAAAAGCAATGCACTGTAACTTCCTGGTTTGTTCGCTGCCTTTTTGAACAAGATCCTGCTTTTCCTTTTTGGCAAAAGCTTCAGGCTAATAACCTCCAACCAGCAAAATCCTAAAGTAGAGGATTACCACACATCTAACGCACAAAAGAGTTATCTTTATACCCAAACTTGGGGACAGCAAACACACAAGGAGGAAGGCAAGCTCTGAGGGAGCCCACTGATAAAGAAAAGACATGCAAGCAGACATGCTGGAGATAATATAGAGACAAGCAGACAGCCATGCTGGAAAACACAATGGCACCATACTCATGGCCAGCACCCCAAACTGGCTGCAGCCTGTATCACTTTGAAAACACTGGGACCAAGTAATTCCCTTCCTTTGTCCAGCTGCCAGGAATAGGCCTGCATTGCCATCCATGCACCAAGAGAAAGAGCCACCTCAATCATGAGTGCCCACGAGTGCCATAGCATGTGGCTATGATCGCCACAAACAAAAGTGAACTCTATACTCGAGGCATGCCTGCCTCAGTTTCAGTAGTTTATGTGTGCACTGGGTTATGTTCAAAAAGTTTTTTATTATTTACAATTCCTTGGTGGAAAAAAATCATAAAATCTTTGCAGAAAACAAGATCCTATTACCAAGGGGTATATACATTTTCCTCCATTATACTTAGTCTCAGAGTAAGAACACAGCACATCCCTGATCCTTCATCAATGACCAATTATAGCATGTAGTCAGGGAAGACACTCTGGCTGTTCCTGATGTTCAGAAGGTCTCTGAACTACCACTTCCCAGGCATTACTGAGTACTGTCTCCATTTGTTTCCACAGATATTGGGTAAAATGCAGCAAGCCCCTGTCATACAAAGCAGGCATTGCCCGGCAGTGGCCAGCTTCATCAACAGGCACCTCCACCTGAATCCCTGTTTTATTGCAGAAAACAATCTAGAGTTTCAACAGTTCTTGGCGTCAGGACTTTTCCACACCACTCTACATCAGTACTGGTGAACTTTCCATGGTGACCGGCCAAGTCTTGCAGCACTCCGAGGCCCCATATTGAGGTAAGGGGACAGACATGTGGGTCTTACCCATGATCCCAACAACTGGAGACCCCCACCCATACACATTCATTAGTAACCTCTTGTGCATTGTCAGACTTAATAACCAGGGTGCAGCATCCCCTCAGTACCACCCCGCATGTTTACGACCATAATTCTGACCACTTATCTGCTGCTACCAAACAGGCCAATAGCAACCAGTGATGTTGAGCTCCCAGATAGTGATGGCTACACGCTTCTCCATGCTTAGGGGAATTTATGTGGTGTTGCGCCACTGCTGCTCTGAATGAACACTGTGCAGGTGTCTATGAAAGTGGCTTTTGACATCCTGAAGTTTTGCTGCCACTGCAGATCATCCCAGGTTTGCATCACTATCCTTTCCCAACAGGCAGTGGTAGTTGGCTACATCCAAAGACAGCTGGCCAATTAGTAAATCTGCTCCAAGACAGGTTATGCAGAAGTGATTCCTCTTTTCCATTCACATCTTCCTTGACTCATAAGGCCCACAAGGATTCAACAATACCGTGGCTGTCTCCCAAGGTGTGTACGAGCATCAGCTTATTTGCACAATGGACTATCAGGAAAGCAATGCTCAGCAGTGTTGCCTCCATACTGCTTCTGCAAGTGGCTTGAAAACAATCTTAGCTTCCAAAGCCCAATAAATGATGAGATGACAAGAAAAAAAATCCTAGGACGCGGCTACTCTGCTCCCAGACTGCCAACATTTCCGTGGTTTGTGGGAGCTACCCACTGTGCAGCACATGAAGAATCCCAGAATGCACTTCCCAGAATGCATGGGCCTCCTGCTCAGAACATGCACTTTATATTGTAAAAGTGCAGCACTGCGTGGACACAAGGGCTGAAAAGGATAGTAGCTTAAGCTATCATAGACTCAGAGGGTTGAAAGGGACCTTAAGTTACCTGCACTGATGCAGGTTTTGTTCCCCAACAGATGCGCGTCCAGCCTCTTCTCAAAAACCTCTAATGAAGGAAACTTCCCCATGTCCCTAGGTATCTCGTTCCACTGGCCTGCTGTCTGTAGAGCGAGGGAGTCTGATTCTGGTATCATAACCAACAGCACGGTTCTAATACATCTCAGCTGCTGTGTGTACATACGGCTTTTAGAAGAGTTACTACTGCTGGTTAGCTAAGGTAGAGAAACAGAGTAGCTGACATAACTGCAAGTGCAGACCAAATCTTAAATCACCTCTCGTCAAGGTGTTTATGGCTTTTCTCTTGTGTGTGAAGCCTCTGTAGTGTTAACCAGGGAGGAGCTTTCACTGAGGCATTTCCTAATGTCAGGCTTTGTGTCAGGTTTTTCTTTCATGTGGATCCTGTGATGGGAGTTCAGGTGCGAGCGGCTGCTGAAGGTCTTCTCACACTGAGGGCATTTGTAAGGCCTCTCCCCCGTGTGGATTCTCTCATGGATGATGAGGGCTGATTTGACCCGGCACCGTTTCCTACAGTACAGGCACTTGTATGGCTTTTCTCCCGTGTGGGTTCTCTGATGCGTTATAAGGTGTGAAGAGCAAGTGAAGTTCTTCCCGCAGACAGGGCAGTTGTAAGGTCTCTCCCCGGTGTGGATTCTCTGGTGGACAATCAGGGCTGAGCTGTCACTGGATCTCTTCCCACAGTCGGGGCACTTGTAGGGCTTCTCCCCAGTGTGGAGTCTCTGGTGCCTGATCAGGTCTGAGCTCTGATTGAAGCTTTTCCCGCACTCCAGGCATTTATAGGGTTTCTCCCCTGTGTGGATTCTTTGGTGTTTAATAAAGGTGGAGTTCGCTGTGAAGCTTTTCCCACATTCAGGGCATTTGTAGGGTCTCTCACCTGTGTGGATTCTCAGGTGGGTCATGAGGTTTGGGCTCTGGTTGAAGCTCTTCCCACACTCGGGGCAGGTATAGGGTTTCACACCCGTGTGGATTCGCTGGTGTATAATAAGGTGTGAACGGCTGCTGAAGCTTTTCCCACACTGGCTGCATGTGCTTTCTCTCTCTCCCATGTGGATTCTCTGCATTCTGGGGCCCTTGAAGGGCTTTTGACCTTTTGCACAGGGAAGGGATTTCCCCACTTTCTTCACCGGATGCTTTCCCAGCTCCCTCTCTGTGCTGCACTGGCTCCCACAGGATTGTTTCTGCTTAGTGTTGCAGCAAACATTCCCTTTGCATTTTCCCAGTGCTGTCCCACGTGGTTCTCTGTGCTCAGGATGGGCGAGTTGAGAACTCTCCTCCCCATTCTCAGTTTTGATCCCATCACCTGCCAGGGTAAAGAACAGACCATGACTGGAGTCATTTCTTGTGTCAGGAGGAAGTGACAAGCTAAAGAGAAAAATTTAGAAAGAAATGTTGCAAGAGTCTTGGGGAGTGAACCCAACTGAATCTCCCCAAATCCTCCCCCAGAAAGGGTTGGGGAACAGTTCAGCTCCCACATGAGGGAGGGCCCCAGTTTGATCTCCTCAGACCATCTGAACACTGCTGAGAAAGGAAAAGTTCATGAGCAGGGAGCCAAGCATCAATCAGAACGGGTAGGACACCCCTGGGTCTTGTCCAGCCTCAAGGTATGACACCTGCTGGGTACAGTCCACCCTAAGGGAGCTCAAAGGCTCTCTGTGGGGATCCCACCCTTTTCCATCATTCACCAATGGCTACTGAGTGGGTTGAACCAAAACCTTACCTGGATTGATCACGCCTGGGATTTTCCTTCCTTCTGAGCCCTGTAGGCCTGGGATCCATGGATCTTTTCCCTGTTCTAGCTGGGAGATCACTTCAGGTTTGGGAATTGGAAATCCTGCTTCAGAAGAAAGCAAGTGCATGGGATCAGGCTGAATTCATAGTTTCATAGTTTCATAGTTTCTAGGGTCGGAAGGGACCTGAGCAGATCATCTAGTCCGACCCCCTGCCATGGCAGGAAAGAGCACTGGGGTCAAATGACCCCAGTAAGGTGGTCATCCAACCTCCTCTTAAAAACCCCCAGGGTGGGAGCCTGCATCACCTCACTTGGAAGCTGGTTCCAGACCCTAGCCGCCCTGACCGTGAAGTAGTGCCTCCTGATGTCCAACTTAAACCTTCCCTCCGCCAGCTTGTGACCTTTGTTCCTGGTTACTCCTTGCGGCGCTTGGGGGAACAGGGACTCCCCCAGCGCCTGCTGATCCCCCCTAACCAGTTTATAACAGGCCACAAGATCCCCCCTCAGCCTTCTCTTTTGAAGGCTGAACAGGTTCAGGTCCCGCAACCTTTCCTCATAGGACCTACCCTGCTGTCCCTTG